AATTTAATTTTAAATTTCCTCTATTCATAATATGTAGATTTTGTATTTTACATACGGACTGCGTTTCATTTGTTTCTTAATGTTATTTATTGATTTCATACGCCGTTTGTGGGTTTTATTACATTATTTTATATTATACTATTCTTTTTTAGTGCTGTCCTCAACTTTCATTTGTTTGGCCGTTGTCAAGTTTATAAATAAATTAATTGCACTCTTTTAATCCAGTTAATGAAATGGACACGAAACTACAGCCGTGATTGTTTGTTTCCGACCTGCAGATATTATGAGACGGGGAGCTTCAAAGCTGGCGTCATCGGCGGAAGCAAGCCCAAAGTAGCGACACCTCTTGTAGTGGACGCCATTGCGAACTACAAGCGTGAGAATCCCACCATGTTCGCGTGGGAGATTCGGGATCGACTCCTGGCTGAAGGCATCTGTTCGCAAGACAATGTTCCCAGCGTCTCCTCCATAAATAGGTGAGTCTGTAAATATAAAAAGGACGAAGGATATATTTTCGATGGTAGAGAAGTCACTTGTTAAGAGTCAAAGAATACGTACCTTGCTACAAGACATAGTAGAAAATTAACAAGTCTCTACGTGTCCCTCAAGACTCGTTAAGGCTTGCATGTTGTAAAGTTCTAAAAATGTTGATTATGAAATAGCAGGAGTGTCGAATCGTATATTTTCCTCAAATTATATCGTATCACTATGGATGGGATAACAGAATTGCTTAACACATGTCCATATATTTCATCATCTGCCAGGTACAATATCAGTTTTACATGTTTATCTCGCAGGGTTATACGTTTCAAAACTTATCTAAGATTTTCCAGCATGTTTTGGCATCGATTCCGTCAACCAAACAGTGATACATGTTTTAAGAACTATAAGGAATACCGGAATTATTTTAATATTTCGGGAAATTGTATAAGCCGCCCCTGATGATGACAATGACTACAAAACATTTCGGGTAATAAACTTAGATTATCTTTGCAACATATTACCTCTATGATCCAGCGTATGAGTAAAATTGAGATTGTTTCTAGTGGATAATAAAATATATATATTTATGTATTATATATTTTGCTTCAACGGAGCTGACGTAACAAGAATTATTATAACGAAACCATATTTGTCTCTCAAATCTGCGTTAATTAATAAAGAACCGTCCACTGAATGTATTTATTTTTGAGATAGAAATTTCTGATATATTTTCATCTCTCATGGTAATTGTATTCCCTCAGTACATTTGCAAAGATACATTATTATTTTTCACGAATTTTCAAAAATCATACGGGGTGGAGGGGGGACACAGCTACGAGTATTTTAGATTAGGGTTCATGGAAGAATTTCTTTTGAATTTTACATGTTCAAGGAAGATATATTACGCCGTGTTAGCCTACATTTCCAACAGCCTTGTTCTGTGAGTCGCAATATTAAAATATCCTAAATATTAATCACGCCAGGGAACCATTGAGGAACGGGAAGATGACAAACCTTCGACTGAACATGGAGGTTAGTTGTGTGTTTTACGCTCCGGCCGCTTTACCCCGAGGGAAAAAGTAACAGTTTGTTCAACGGAATTACTTACTCGTTCGGAAATTGTAGATCCTGAAACGATTTATTTGAAATTTTCATTAGAGTCCTGCGTATTGACTGGATGTGTTTTAATCTCGTCCTTGAAGCCTGTGCAAATCTGAAATCCCCAAGACACCAGTCTATTACGCCACATCAGCGGGTAAATCTGTAGTGCTCCTACAAATGATTAAGTTTATTAAAAGCGAGTTGAGCTGTAGAGGGCGCGATCACAGATGTTACATGTGACGGAGGTGTCAGGAGGGTGGGTGGAGGGGTTATTCTACCCCCATCACTGCACATACAAGGGGTAGCTCTGTCCCCAGAGAACATTTGTACGGAAAGTACTGGACCCTGGGGAAGGGCACAATTGGAAGGGCATAAAAGCTCTTCTTGTACTTTGATTACAAATATGTTAATAGGATGTGATTGGTTCACTTGAAATATGGTAACGTTATTGCACGTCTAGTCGCCGTGATGCTCACGGATTTCAGAACAGTCACGCAGTTACAGAAACCAACAAAATTAATTAGCATCAATATTTTTGGGCTTTGTCCATGGTATAAATAAATGAAATAGAAATAAAAATAAAATACGACGTTTCGGAAGCTAGAAGTTCTTCCCTCTTCAGATAAAAAGGAAAGGGTTGAAACCCTAGCTTTCGTGGTAGCTCAACCAAAGGGCCCAATAACGAGATTGTTTTACCTGAAGACGGAAGGAGTTACAGCTTCCGAAACATATTTTATCTTTATTTCTATTTGTTATTTAGACCATTGGTATTCAACCTTTTTTGTTCGCTTACCCCCAGATATAATTTCTGCATTACTGATTAATCAGTGTTTATAATAATTTTTTTTAAATTTCACGTACCCCCTAAGACTATAGACAAAGTCCAGAAAAATGCTCACAGATTCTCAGGGACCATCATCGCAAACCTTTAGACTTTAACCAAAATTAATTCGCACGACAACGTTCAGTGTGTAAATCCACAAACATGAAATGTCATCCGTCAGTCAATGCAGTTGGTTTAGACATAACCTCAAAATGACGTGTTCGTTTTATCCACTTTGAGTAAAGAACGCGGTAGGTAACAGTGTGGGCCAAATACTAAGTTATTAAACGTTAAACTTTGTGGTGGCAGATTTATGAACTCTGCAAGAAGCAGCTGGAGCAGGCACTCGTAAACCTCACACACATCCGCGTTACAGGCAGACGAGTAGACCGCCATTTTGTGGTTCCAGAAACCCAAACGAGCGAAACGGCGACGACCGAGTGAAATGTCGACCGCGGCGGCGAAGGGGGAGGGGGCGAGGCGTCGCACGGCACAATTCTTCTTCTTCTTCTCCTTACTCCCTAAAGAAGAAAATTCATCCCTCCTTCGCCTTTACCTCATCATGGATCTACTACCCCCTCGTCCATTTCACCCCCTGCTTCTGCATTTCTCTCCCCCGCGCTTTGCATTCCTTCCTCCACGTCTCCATTCTATCTCCGCCTCTCCTGAAGGGACTCATCCTCTTAGAATCGTACACCACTTTACGCGGTACACTCACGTCCTACATCATCGGCTGTCTACCCCAGCGACCTCTCTGCAACCGCAAGGCTAGTCTATGTCCTCTGATTCGTAACCGGCTGTCTCTGTAATATTTTTAATTCCATTGCGTTTTCGCAGTCTTAACGATAGTTCACAGAGTCTGGTGGTATCAAGACCTTGTTCGGTTTCCTTCGTCATCTCATTTACTAAAACAGCTTTTCGTTCGTTAGATTATAGCTGTTTCTATCTTTTTTATTTATCGGTCTGTGTATTAAAATCTCCGGTTTAAGGCTGAGTGTTGCGTCTATTTCCACGTTTACCAAATGTTTAGTGTAATATTAGTTGGAATTTCACTTTAAATTAGGCCGTGGTCTAGGCAACACGGAGTTTTCCTCCGTGGCATCCCAACAATTACTCCATTCACACACAGAAGAAGGCAATGGCAAACCACTTCTGGATCATCTGCCAAGAACGCATATGAACAGGTCCCAGTCCGAGAAAAGGATGGAAGGATCCTGTTCATACGGACCTGTCGTCAGACAGAACACTAAAAAAAAAAAACTTCTGGATCATCTGCCAAGAACGTATATGAACAGGTCCCAGTCCGAGAAGAGAAAAGGATGGAAGGATCCTGTTCATATGGACCTGTCGTCAGACAGAACACTACAAAACAAAAAAGTTGCGTTATAAAGTTTGATATGAAACAGTTAACTAAACAGATTCTTCATTAAAACTTTGCAGTTATTTATCTACGCATTAAATCAGATCGCCGTGAAAGGTTCAAATCAGGACGTTCATAGTTTGTATCCATTTCTAATGTTGCTAAAGAGATGAAATGAAGGAATGTGAGATGAGCGGAACATATAGCACGCGTTGGGAATTTAGATGTTTAGAATAATTGGTAGTGTCTAGTGGGAGATATCAAAATAAATGCATTTAAAATAGAAACAAGTGGATTCAGCTGGCTTAGAATACGGTCCAATGGCGGAGTGTTGTGAAAACGATAACGAACCTTCGAGTTTCACTTTTTAACAAGGTGAGCGACTGTAAGTTTCTAAAGAAGGAACCAGGTACGATGCTATTGGAATTGCTGGCCTCTGTGAATGAACTGTAGACTGGCTTATCCTGTACCTTGGTAGCTGATGTCTACGGCTACAGAGAAGTGGCTGCCTGCAGCCTACAGGAAACCTTCCTTCTTATCGATCCTCTCACCCCCTCCCCCTGCCCTTCCGAGCGCTCCAGACGTCGTGAGGGGGGAGGTTTCCTCCTTGGCTTCAAGAAGAACTCTGTAGGGATTTTATGTTGGGTTATGGAGGCTTTGGAAGCTTCTGTAGTTCCCATCTCTATAATCTAGCCGATATTGCAGCTGCCTGACGCGAGGTTTGGTTCACGTACAGCCCCCAAAATGTATCCGATATGGCACCCCGCTGAAATTTAGTACATAACTGATGGGATATTTTACTGGGCTGTTTCAACTGGAACATTTATGACATGGATTGGATGAGAATTTATTTATGAATGGTTAACTAAATAAAATAACTACTCAATCCACCGAGATTCGAAATGGATACATTTAGAATACAAGTCAGAATCGTTGACTGCTTTGTTACTGTTTTTTTTTATTTCGGACAAAACAGCAGGGAATGAGCGATAATTATTAATAACAATATTGATAAGGTGTACAATGCAGTGCAGAAATGCAGAAGAGCTTTAAAAGCCTCCTTTACTGTGTAACCGATACGGTCATTGATAGAGGGCAGTGCGATATTTTCGGCTGAAAGATAAGACGCACGGACGGACGGATAGGATATGTCCATAAAACATTCTTCGCTTATTCTAAAGCAGTGGTATTCAACCTTTTTTCTTCGCGTACCCCCAGATATAATTTCTCTTCAACTCTGTACCCCCAAAGTTGTTGGTGTATAATTCAAGTTATACGTAGTATATAATCTACATCTAAAATAAATTAAATAAATTACATTACTGATTATTCAGTGTTTATCATAAAATAATATATTCTTTTTAAATTTCACGTACCCCCTAAGATGTCTTCTCGTACCCTCAGATATAATTTCTCTTCGACTTTGTACCCCCAAAGTTGTTGGTGTATAATTCAAGTTATGATTGCCTTGGTGACTTTGTGTTCCGAAATATTTAGTTTGTATTTTGAAATAATGCTATACCCTTTTTTATAAAATATTCAAATCTGATACAAATCTTTCTTTTATTCCTTGCATGAAACTCTTAAGAATAATTTGAAACTTGGCGCGTTCTGCAACTCGGCACGAGCTCATCGGCGTCCTTTCTCTAGCAGCTGGTCTGTACCTTCACTGCATATCTCGAAAGATTTCAAGACGAGTCGGGATCAGT